CTAATAATATGGTCTTAAATCCTCAGACTTGATAAGCCCTGTCACAAACCACTCAAAAGAATGGTAAATAGGGCAGTATAGAAAAATCCTTCACATGAGGTCTACAATACCTCTCATTGTATATTACTGTTCCCACTTGCACAGATACTGTCTTCCCTAGAGTTCCCTTTCAGTTATGTTGCTCATGTGTTGCTTCCCTCATGCATACAGTCATCTCCTTCACACCATAGTGTATGTGCTTTAAACGTCACAAGTGAGAGAGAGAGTCAACCTGTCCTAGTATGTACAAATTATTATATACACTTTAATAAAATACGTATTTTCAAACTGATTGTTTGGAGACATTATGTTTTCGTACGTTTCTGTTTATCTATCATGATCATCATTTTCATGTTTCATGCTGAGGAGCATAGGCTGTCACGTTTCACCATATCACAGGATCATCCAAATCATAGATCAGTTCAGTGTCCTTGCTTGCCCACATCTGAAGCATCTGGATATATAAATGTGTGTGCCTTTTCCTAGCTCTGATATGAAGAACCATTTCTTGGATATCTGGTGAGTTCTCCTTATCAGGTCTGCACTGTGTACTTTTATCTTTAAATTCAGTTTTATTTTTTTTCAACAGTAGGGTGGTCCTTCTTGTGTGGGTTCTGGGGTCCTTACTGTGAAAAAAAATAATTACAAGATACAAGGCCAAATGAAAAGTAGATCAGCGAGCTTGACAATATAATAAAAACAAACGAAAACTGAAGGAATGAAGACACACAGGAATACATAGCCCGAAAATGCCAAGGGCCGTACCTCGAAGACGTTAACTGTGTAAAATTAAAGGTCTGTGGCAGGCCTTTGAAATTAAATTGGGGTCTGTGGCAGGCCTTTGAAAATAAAATGGGATCTGTGGCAGGCCTTTAAAAATAAAATGGGGTCTGTGGCAGGCCTTTGAAAATAAAATGGGGTCTGTGGCAGGCCTTTGAAATTAAAAGGTGTTAGCGATATATAGGTGGCGGTCTCTTCAGAATCGCTTTATTTTTCACCTTGTGGACACACAAACGCCTAGACGACAACTGCCACCACAGTTTCGTCTTAACATCTTCGAGGTACGGCCCTTGGCATTTTCGGGCTATGTATTCCTGTGTTTCTTCATTGCACTGGCAAGACATCAACGTGGCTGCATCTGGATACGTCAGTTAAGTCATTTTGTGAATCAGTGTGTTTTTGTTTGATTTGAGTATGTGCTGATAAAGGCTCTGCAGCCGCAACGTTCAGTTTTTGTTTGTTTGTTGTATTGTCAAGCTTGCTGCTCTACTTTTCGTTTGGTCTTATATCTTTTCATAACACTTTTTGTTTTCTGATATGGAACTGGAAAAAGAGATTGAAACAAAATTGTTGGAGAAATTTGATAGATTGTCCTAATGTTTTGGTTATAAGAAAAAAAAAAAAGGTGAAAACTCACAGCTTAACTCGGTTGAAACCAAACTAACAGATGGAGCTCTTAACGCAATTGAGACTATCAGAACTGGGCTAGTTCACAGTTGGAGGAAAGATAATGGTGGCGGAGGGGTTGGGCCGTTGTACCTCACACTGTGAAGGTGGGTTCGTTTCAAGGCTGCGTTGCTCTGTTCACCATTACATTTTTTTTACGGAGAGTCCTGGGGGATCGTCACTGGAGTTATGGAGTTCTTGCGCTTTGTGACGCGGTAGTCGGCAGGCGCGTAGCCCTTATATACACACACACAGAGAGAAAGAGGGGGGGGGGGGAGCGAGAGACATATGGGATAAAACCCGATGCAGTGAAGTCGATCCCCTAGATTGTAACTTTTACGGGATAGTAGAGTCTCAATAGACATCCTCTATTTTGAGCTATAGTTGGGTAAACGACGCCGTATGGAGCTCCAGGTTATATAGCTTTGCGACCAAACTACGAGTCTTCAATTATAATGTTATTTCAGTTCTGACACATGCCAGTGAAAGTTGCAGAAGCACCAAACACATGGAACGGAAGTTAAATACATTTGAAAAAATAATTTATGAGGAAAATCATCAACATAAAATGGAATGAATTCAAAAAGAATGAAATCAGAGAAATGTCGGCCAGACACT